CCAACAATGTCAGAGGTGATATCAATATTAACTAATGAAGTTATGCGATTGCCCATCCGAAACAACCCGCATTTACGACAAGTGGTCTAAGAAGCTCAAGCACCACCTACCCAGAAATCCGTCGTGTAAATGAGGTCACCATATCAACACTGAATGGTCCATAGCAATATGTACTACAATTGTCTTTACTACCGGTCCATCTCAAATACATTATCCACGTTACATGTATGCATGTCACTCATTTCAGTATAGAAAGACCGATTGATTCCCCACCGTTGACTTGGCTATTGTAACATGCATAAAAGTCATGTGAACTAGACCACAAAATAATTATGGGAGTTAAATAGAAGTTCGTATATTAGTATATAATATAATTTGCAAGTTTGGTTACTAAGATTATTGAATTGTTTCACGTTTGTCATTAAAAATATTTTCGTCCTCATCATTAAGATTAGTTTAAAATAGCCCAAATTTGGTAACTGGACGTCACCTTTAGTCGGTCTCCATTAGTGACTAGAGAGGCTGATGAAAGGGTGACGACCACGATCGGATTGCTAACCGTGGATAGAGCCATGGTGATGGTATTAGTATACACCAAATACTAAATTAAATAATATCATATTTAATAAGATAATACAATATAATAACCAAACCATTTCGAAAATATAATAACTGAGGTGCCATTATTTTAAGCGAGCTAGATAGTATTTTGCTGATGTGGCAGCAAATATTTTGAAATTCAAAATTAAATTAAAGAAACAATTAAAAAATCCCACGAGGACCCACGAGCTCGTCGTCACACGCGGCTGCTCCGCCCACCCGTCCAATACGACTCCACCACCCACAGCTTCCGCCCCCCAACCGTCTCGACCGACTTTCGACACTCCTGCAGCTCCGCCATGCCGACGGCCGCCTCATCCAGAATGAGGGATTCAACGACGACAAGTTTCGTGTCCGCTCCCTCTACCCCCAGCAACGACGCCGCATCGAGGGTTGACAGCCACACTCAACTAAATCGTGCCCTTCAACCATGACCAAATCGCCGCCATCGTCTCCTCGTCGTTCCTCGCCACGACCACCGAATACGACACTAGGTCGTCGTTGGAGCTTGCCATTTTGAAATCCCAAATTATCTCCTCGTCCAGCCTATTCCTATCTCCATAATCCATTCCCGCTGCACTTTGCGCTGTTAGATCAACACTCAGATCTCGACTGCTACATCTGCGACAGCTACAATGAAGCTAGGTAAAGAATAAGGCAGTGATTTCTCTCCCCGAAATTGATTTTCTATCACGATTCAAGAATGGGAAGAGAGTACTTACCTAAATTTTTAACACACTAATTTTTAACAAATTACGTTTTGGTACCCAAAATTATTTTTCCTTACAATTTAGTTCCTAATTTTTTTAAAATAAGTCCTTAAAATTTGATGGTAAAATTACGTTTTGGTGCCCAAATTTATTTATTTTTACAATTTAGTACCTAAACTTTTAAAATTTTACAAACAGGTCCAATTTGATTGTATGTGGAATTTCATATTTGAATGTCACAGGGTCAAAAAATGACTTGACCATAAACTGACTCGACCCGCCCTGACCTAACCCTAAACTGAGACAAGGGTCGTGGCGGGTTAGTAGTGGTTTTTTAGGGTTAAGTTTACACCCCTAATTCTAGGTCAATGACTCCCGCGAAGAACTCCACTTCTTTCTCCCCTATCCCGCAGCATCAGAGATCCAAGGTAAGGATTCCTCTGCTGGCAACTCCACTTCTCCATCAGTCGTTGCCTGAACTCCCCAGAGGTAGCATCCTCAGAGCCCCGGCGCTGCCGTCAAACTTTTCAAGGAAAACGCAAACCGAGAGAGCAGGATTCTCGATCTCACCAGCACCGTCCGAAAGTCCCATGGTAATTACTCCTCCCACATCGAGTCGCCTCCGCGAATGTTACTCATTCCGCTCCACTCTACAATTGTGAGTGTCATTTAGGGTTTCTTGCCGATCTATGTGGATTTCTGTGTTTCGCGAGAAAGAGAAGGTGGGAGGAGGGGAAGGTAGACAGATCGGCGGTGTGGGTGTGCAAGCATTCTTCCTTCCTTCTCCTCCGTTGCTTCTCCTTCAGGACGACGAAGCTTTTTCAAGGACTCGGGTAGGAAGTTCGACGATCAATTCCAGAGGAAGAAGCAAGGAGGAAGAAGGCGATCGAAGAACCAGAATGGGCAAAGCAATGCATTCGATCGGAGAACAAGAATGGTTATTTTTATTTGGGCAAAATTTGGCTGCTGTCTGGATTGCAGCCCAACGCTGCTACCCAGCCACATGGCCTTATCTCATTGGTTTAATTATGTTAATTTATTATTAGATGTTAATTAAATTTGGACGGGACGGAGACATTTAACAGCTTTGATTTTGGACGGGACATGAGACGGAGAAGCAGGAAAGACGGCAACTTAGTGTTGGGTTATTGTTTGTGTTATGCAGGCCATTTTATGATGGCTATGTAAAATTTATTAAATTATTAGGTTAATAGCATTTCGTATTTATCTATTATGAAAAATTAACAAACGTATATGTCTATTAAAAATTTGCACAAATAGACATTTTAATATTAAAAAATAATGAGTTTAATCTTCCATCTAATTATCTATTATGTGGCCGTTAAATAAGTTGTGAAATGACCCAATGCCCCTCCTTTACTCCCAAACACTCATGGTTTTAATTATTTTATTATGTCCAAAATCAATTAATTAAAAAAATCAAAATCCTAAACTAATTCACACGCACTTGACCGTAGCTACTCTGAAGTCTCCCCAGGCGATCAGCCCATTGACTCGACGGCGGCTCCTGCTCCCGGCGGCTGGAGTAGACAGAATTGGTTGATACGACGACTAGATAGACGGTCTCTCATCTAGTGTTTCTTTATTAATTTAGGGGTTTAATTTTTTTAATTAATTGATTTGAGACATAATAAAATAATTAAAATCAAAATCAGGAGTGTATATAAGTAGGGGTGTTCAAACGGTGTGGTTACCATGATAGACGGTCTCTCATCTAGTGTTTCTTTATTAATTTAGGGGTTTAATTTTTTTAATTAATTGATTGAGACATAATAAAATAATTAAAATCGAAATCAGGAGTGTATATAAGTAGGGGTGTTCAAACGGTGTGGTTACCATGGTAACCGTTTTAACCAGTACTATTTGGATAATTTGGTTTGGTTAATTTGGATAATTGGTTTGGTTTGGTTGAAATTATTAGCTTGTTTGGTTTAGGTGGTTTGGTTTGGTTTCAGACACTCCTAACCAGCCAAACCAAATTAACCAGATAATAATTAGCCATATATCTAATTATACACATACTTAATATTATGAATAATCACTCAAGAGTTAAACGTTCATCCCTTTTAGACTCATAAAATATAAAGTTTTATATTGTTCCTATAATGTATATTTGTATATGTAGAGTGTAGACCACAACATATGAACGCCTAATTTAGATAAATCTCATACATTATGTTGGATGAAAACTTGAAAGCAATGTCCTTTTCAGCCTATGAAAATTGCTAAAAGCCTAAGTCAATTCAAACAAACACAACAATTCATTAACCCATACTATTGTAGATAAAATGGTAAAATCGTTACGTTTAATTATTAGAATGGTATGTTTGTCCAAAAATTTAGTAGACAAATATGTTTGTTAATTTAGCATAGTACAGAAATACAAAATGTTATTAAACCTAAAAAAGTTATATGACAAATAAAAATAATATAAAAATAAAGAAACATAAATTGGTATCACACTCACACTGCCACCCATAAGTTCACTGTACGTTTCTTTCAAATTGTTTTGATAATAGGTTTCTTTAAATTTCCATTAGCACCAAGTTCCCGTATTTCACTATTTCCTTTTATATTAAATAGAATTATCGCCTGTATTTGGGGGGAAAAGTTCCCTGTATTTCCTACTTCTCCGTTTGAAAACGCCGTTAGATGCATGCATATCCGTTCCGTCCAAATTTAATTAGCATAATAATTAAACCAATAAATTGAGGCCATGTGGCTGGGTAGCAGCGTTGCGCTGCAACCTAGACAACAACCAAATTTCTCCCTTTTTGTTTATTTATTTATTTATTTTATTTTTTCAAAATAATTATTATTTAAATTAATAAATATCTATGTGGCACAGTCAATGGTTGACTTTTGGTCACGTCATCAATCAACGTCCAACTCAATGATAGAACTGCCACATCAGAGTCAAGTAACAGTTGACCGGACGGAAAGTTGACCGTTTGGCTAATAAATTGTTTTCGAAAAGGTTTGACTATTATTTTGTTTTAATATAAATTTTTTGGCTATTATATTGTATCTACCCTATTTAATAATCAAATCTACAAACATTTGATGAGTTGGTTTCAACATTGTCAATATATAAATAGTGAAGTCGGCTTTCCTTAATAGCTAACTCATATTTTGATTGACTGCAATGGGAATAAGCATAGTGTCCGCAAGCAATGCTCCTATATTCTCCTTTCTATTCTACTACTGTGTTCACGTTCTTCTCTGGCTTCCAACACCAACAGTTAGCTTTCTGTGAATTTTACTCTTATTGTTTCTGGTATATCTCACATTTCATTGTATTGTGCCAGTATGACAATGATTTTTGTTTTGCAATTTTTTCTCTTCTCATTTTGATCTTCGAGCACTTCCGCTAAACTAAGAATTTTGATTGATATATGCAATTGAGATCAATTTCCTGCAGTGCAGTTGTGATGCTATTTGAATATTCTCTTTTGTTATCAAGTTCAGGGCTATTTAGTTTTATTGTGGGATCAAAACTAAGTCAGACTTGAACACACAGAAATTACAGAGCATCTCAAGGAACATTTCCTGTTTTCAAATTGAAATTCTTCATTTATCTTGCCCCGCCGCGTAGCGCGGACTTTCCTACTAGTGGGAATAAGCAGAGTGTCCACAAGCAATGCTCTTATTCTCCTTTCTATTCTACTGTTGTGTTCACGTTCTTCTCTAGCTTCCAACACCAACAGTACTCTGACCAAAGGCGGGCCATCCCTCAATTCCTCATCCACCCTCGTTTCCCCAAACGACCACTTCACTTTGGCCTTCAGCCGGCCCGGCGACTGGGAACCCACCGACAGCAGCTACCTCGGGATACGGTACAACGATTTCACCGAGTTCTGCTGGACAGCGAACCACCACTTCCCCATCTCCGACGGCTCATGATCTCTCTCCCTATACTCAAACGGGACCCTAAAGATCAGCTACTCCTGCGGCATCGCCGTCCAGCTGTACTCCAACACCAGCTGCCAGGGGATAAGATTGATCGTGGCGCTCCAAGACACGGGCAATTTCGTCGTGAGGGACACCGACGATGATGATTCGCTGCCACCGCTGTGGCTGAGTTCGGATTCCCCGACGGATTCTTGGCTGCAGGGGATGAAATTGGGGGTGGTCAAGGCCGCCCACGGAAGAAGCAGTGGGGAGAATCAGAAGCTGACGTCATGGCTGACCGACTGTAACCCGGCGTCGGGGGCTTTCACCCTGGAGTGGGACCCCACCGGCGGAAAGGAGGAGTTGGTGATGAAACGACGAGGCATGGTGTTCTGGACCAGCGGCAAGCTATCGGGTAACCGATTCCCGTTTATAACCCACCGACACATCTCCAATCCTCCGGACGGCGGCGACGAGGATTACGTGATCATGGCATCTCCTTCCGCCCTTCGACTCACACACCAAGGCAACCTTCTGGAGGACACCGGCTACAAATACGTATTGTACGGCTCGGTCTCCGACGCGAACAACATCGAGGACGACTGCCGGAAATGGGAGGGCCCAGAGTGCCGGAGAAGAAATGACGGCGGCGACAGGTTCGTGGAGCTGCGTGGTAGGTTCGGTGGCAGAGGGCGCTGGATGAATGGCGGTCGCCGGAACCATACTGTTGGTGATTGCGAGGACATTGTTAATTTTATTAGTCTCCTATGTATTGTAGTAGTAGATGTACGTAGAGCCCATTAGTATTAAAGGGCCCATGCAGCCCATGAACATTAGGTAGATGACGTGCAAACCTAATGTATCTAGGGTTCGGCTAAATGCTAGTGGTATAAGGGTAGAGAGCAGCAGTCATATGTCATGATCGGATTCTCATCAGTAAAACAGTAACAGAGGAGTCTTCAAGCTCCTCCGTGGATTAGTCCTGGTTAATCCAGAGATACCACGTAAATCGGTGTCTTGCATTTCAGTTACCATATTTAACTTTCATCATGGTATCAGAGCCTGCGCAAATCGAATCAGAGAGACCGTCGGTACGTCTTACATCTACCAATTTTGCACTGTGGGAATTTCAATTCAGAGTTTTTGTGGAAGGACGTGGATTGCTTGGTATTCTTGACGGAACAGTACAGAAACCAACTGCCGGATCTGCTACATCTCTCGAAATCGCCCAATGGAGTCAGAACGATGCTCGTGTGAGGTCGTGGCTGCTGGGCTGCGTGGATTCATCCACCTGTCTGAGTCTACGTTTATTTTCGACTGCAAATCGGATGTGGCGACATCTTACAGCCCTCTATTCAACTGTTAATCCAGCTCGTCAGTTCGAAATATAGATGTCCGTTGCTCGCCTAGAACAAGGAGATAGATCAGTTGCTGAGTATTTTAATTTGGCACAGGAATTATGGACTGAACATAATCTTATTCAAGCTGCATTGCGACCCCAGACCGCCTTGACTGATGATGCGATTGAAGAAAGACAACGGACAAGGATCCTTGAGTTTTTAATGCGTTTGAGACCTGAATTTGAAGGAGTGAGGTCGACCTTGCTTAATAAAGATGAATGGAAATTTGATGGGGTCCTGGGGACTTTGATCCGTGAGGAAACTAGAATTAGGACTCAAGCCTTGCTAGATCAACGCCCTGGAGAAGGCGAAACACTTGTTGTCGCTGCTACGTCCGCGCCGCAAGGAAATGGTCCTGGTTCACTTGTTTTTGCTGTCGATCGCCCTCAATTTCAAAGGAGAATTCCAGCGACAGAGATGGAGTGTCACCACTGCCGGGAAAATGGCTACTTATAGAAACATTGCAAACGTCGGAATTTTTGTGTCTATTGCAAACGCATGGGACACATTGTTCTTGAATGTCGCTCCCGGGAAAGGAATAAAGCTAAGTGGGCAGATTCTACAGCTGCTGCTGGACGTTCGGGCAGACAAGGAGATCGCCCAGGGTACGGCGGAATGAGAAATGGCAATGGGGATCGCCCGACGTATGGGCGCATTTCCGACCGAGACCAGCTGCTGGACACCTGCACCACGTCGCGCACCAAACTTTGTTGAGCAAGGTGGACAACGCATGGAGGCAGGAAGCAGCTCTGGAATTACGCCGGACACTGTTGAGCAATTAGTAAATGCAGCTTTGCAACAATCTCTTCCTACGGCTATCAGTGCAACATTTGCTACCCTATAGGGATCAGGTACTTCATTACCTTGGCTACTTGATAGTGCTTGCTATAATCACATGACCAGGAAATCTGATATGTTGCGGAATATAAAACCTATTAATGACATGTAATTAACAGTGGCTAATGGAGACAAATCAGCTGTTAGTGGAGTGGGTAATGTAGTTACGGATTCTATATCACTACAAAATGCCTTGCATGTTCCTCAACTTGTTCCAAATTTGGTTTCAGTAGGACAGCTTACTGAGCAAGGTTATTCTGTGGTGTTTGCTCCGTCTGGGTGTGTTGTACAGGATTCGAAGACGGGGAGGCCGATTAGAAGGGGGAGTAAAAGAAGCCGACTGTTTCATTTGGAGGCATTACATGGGCAATCTATTTCATCGAGTGTCAATAGTTCTTCTCATAGGTCTGTCAGTAGTCCTTATTCAGTGTTTTCTAGTGTTTCGAATAATGTATGGGATCTCTGGCATTCCCGGCTAGGGCATCCTCATACCGGTCGTCTGTCTCTTATGTTTAAAAACTCGTTGCTTGGCAAAAACAATGTTGGGATTTCTGGTTCACATTCATGTAAAAGCTGTGTTGAAGTTAAAACATTCAGTGTTTCTTTTCCTTCTAGTGTCACTGTCATCAAAGATCCTTTTCATATTGTTCATACCGATCTCTGGGGTCCCTCGCCGACTCTTAGTAGACATGGTTTCCGGTATTTTGTTTTATTTATTGACCATGCTACTAGGTTTACCTGGATCTACTTCCTTCGTCTGAAATCTGAACTTCGAGTTGTTGCCATTGAATTCTTAAACATGATCCAGACTCAATTTGGTCGTACAGTCAAAATAATTCGTTCAGATCCTGGTGGGGAATTCAGTTCTTTTCCTTTGCGTGATGTCTATCGTGATCGTGGAATTTTGTGTCAAAAATCCTGTCCCGATGTATCCCAACAAAACGGGCTAGTGGAACGCAAAAATCGTCATGTGTTAGAACTTACCAGAGCTCTTCTGCTTGCTTCCCACGTTCCTGATTGTTTTTTTGCCTGAAGCAACGGCGACTGCAGTGAAACTGATAAATTACCAACTCACTACGGCTCTTGGTAACACTAGTCCCTATTTTGCTCTTTATTCTCACCATCCATATTACTCTCGTCTCCGTGTTTTTGGCTGTTTGTGTTTTGTTCTTCTGCCCAAATGAGAACGAACAAAACTGACTTCCAAAACTGCTCGTTGTGCTTTTCTAGGTTATAGTGATGTTCACAAAGGCTATATGTACTATGATCCTACTACTCAACGTATTAGGATTGCTGCATCTGTAGTATTTTTTGAACATTTATCCTTTTTCGAGCCTAAGTATAATTCTGAGTCTATGTTCCCTGGTTTTAATTCATTGCTCATATTCCATTTTGAAGAGACGACTGATGACCCATCCTTACTTCCCCCAAATGATGCCGAGTCTCCCCCACACTCACCTTCACCTGCTACGAGCTCGCCCACATCCTTGGACACATCTTTGGACTCGTCTGCTCCTGATGCTTCATCACCTCCGTACGCAGATCCTCTTCCTAGGCGTTCCTTGCGTTTGACCAAGGGTGTCCCGCCACCGAAGTACAATGACTATGTGACTCACAATGTTGATTCCTTGCAGATTCCTACATCCTACAAACAGGCACAGGGCAATCCGTTATGGGAATCCGCGATGGACTGTGAGACAGATTCCATGCATGCCAATAACACATGGAATGTTGTTGATCACCCTTCACCCGATACACCAACTGTTGGTAGCCGATGGGTATATACCATCAAGGTCAATCCCGATGGGACGATTGAACGATACAGGGCGCGGATTGTGGCTCTTGGGTATACACAGGAGGCGGGGGTAGACTATCATGAGACTTTTGCTCCTATGGCGAAGATGTCTATTGTTCGGGTTTTACTTGCTATTGCAGCAAAGAAGGGTTGGCCTCTTCTCTAGCTTGATGTCAAGAACGCGTTTCTGCACGTCGATCTTTATGAGGTCATTTACATGGAGCGTCTGCCAGCGTATCGTGTAGGTTCTCCTGGCCAAGTTTGTCTACTCTACCGATCCTTGTATGGTCTGAAACAGGCGCCACGAGCATAGTTTGAAAAATTTCAGTCCAAGCTGGTGGATCTGAGTTTTCATCAAAGTCTGAATGATCCATCGCTATTTACACAGACTTCCTCTCGAGGTATTATGGTTCTCCTTCTCTATGTAGATGATATGATTACTACTGGATCAGATGCCGTTGGTATTCGCAGACTGAAAGATGGACTTCAGGCCACTTTTAGTATCAAAGACCTAGGGGAGTTGTCCTACTTCCTTGGGTTGGAAGTTTCTCGTTCTGCTAAAGGGATCCTTCTCAGTCAAAGGAAGTATATTATAGACCTGTTGCATGATCACAACTTTGAGAACTGCAATCCAGTTTCAACACCTATGGAGCTTAATCTTAAGCTTAGTAGAGAGTCTGGAGAGCGCCTGAAGGATGGCTCTCAGTATCGCATCATAGTAGGAAGCTTGATTTACTTGGCAGCTACCCGAACAGACATTTCCTATGATGTGCAATTGGTGAGTCAGTTCATGTTCGATCCAAGTGTGGATCACCTAGCTGAAGTACATCGAATCTTGTGCTACTTGAAAGGGACTAAAGAAGTAGGTATTTTGTTTTCTTCGAGTGGGATGACTAAGCTACGGGCATATTCAGATTCAGATTATGCAGGGTGTATAGATACACGGCGTTCTACTACGGGATGGTGTGTTCAGTATGGGGATTCCTTTGTTTCTTGGCGGTGTAAGAAGCAAGATAAGGTTTCTAAGTCTTCTACAAAAGCAGAGTACAGAGCTATATCTGATGTCACTTCCGAGCTAGTCTGGCTGTGACAGTTACTGGCTGATTTTGGGGTATCATGTCATTTGCCCATGGAGCTGATGGTTGACAACACTAGTGCTATTCGTATTGCTGCTAATCCAGTCCTACATGATCGCACCAAACATATCGAGATACGTGTTCACTATGTTCGGGACATGGTACGTGATGGAACAGTAACACTACACTACATACATACAGAGGATCAAGTTGCAGATCTATTCACGAAGTCATTCTCCACGAGTCGACACTGGTTTCTGTCTAGCAAATTGATGTTGTTAGACATGCATCAATTTGGGGGAGGCTGTTAATTATATTAGTCTCGTATGTATTATAGTAGTAGATGTACGTAGAGCCCATTAGTATTAAATGGCCCATGCAGTCCATGAACATTAGGTAGGTGACGTGCAAACCTATTGTATCTAGGGTTCGGCTAAATGCTAGTGGTATAAGGGCAGAGAGCAACATTCATATGTCATGATCGGATTCTCATCAGTAAAACAGTAACTGAGGATTCTTCAAGCTCCTTCGTGGATTAGTCCTGGTTAATCAGGGGATACCACGTAAATCGATGTCTTGCATTTCCGTTACCATTTTTAACTTTCATCAGTGTTGGAGGGATTGCGAGTGCGGTGGGATACTAGTGAATGAGACTGGATGCGAGTTTTTCTAAAGGGGTGTCAGAACTGTGGACACCTTGGAACCTAAAAATGGCGAGGCTTATGTCATCGTTGATGCAATCGAAACCCATCCTTCAATTGGGAATTTGTAATCATTGTTATTTTTCTCGCTCAATCTTCTCAATCAATCTTGCTTGCTTTCTCAATACAAACAATGGCAGCTTTCTCTGCCTCTGCCTCTGCCTCCGCCTCTGTTTCTCTCTCTCTCTCTCTCTCTCTCTCTCTCTCTCTCTCTCTCTCTCTCTCTCTCTCTCTCTCTCTCTCTCTGCAGTTGCAGTCGGAATAGGGGCTGCAGCAGCAGGGGTTCTCGTGATGGTCGCCATTTTTGGTATTTTCTGGTACAGGAGACGGCGCAAACTCATACGTTATGTTTGTTTCATGTATGTTTGATGTTTATCCGCTTGCTTGTTAATACATTCTGCTTATACATCACCATATGCGTACAGAGAGACTTCTGGCAGAGTTGATGATGGAATCTGAGGGCACGAAAACTAAGGGAGGCGACGAGATTGAGGAAGATGATGATCCCGGCCATGATCTGACAATCTATAGCGTCCATTCCATCGTGACTGCTACGGATAACTTCTCTTTGAGGAATAAACTCGGACAGGGAGGTTTTGGACATGTATACAAGGTAAAATCCGTCTAGCCATCCACTCAAAGGAAAACTATACACGAGACACGAAAATGTTGATCCGACTAAGGCTTTTAAGCACAAGTCATCAACATTGTTTAATGTTTCAGGGGAAACTATCGGGTGGACGAGAAGTGGCTGTGAAGAAATTATCTAAGAGATCGGACCAAGGGCTGGTTGAGTTTAGAAATGAGCCCATCCTTATAGCCAAGTTGCAACATAGGAATCTCGTTAGCCTTTTGGGTTGTTGCATTCATGGTGAAGAAAAGATGTTGGTGTACGAATATATGCCTAACAAGAGTTTGGATTTTTTTGTTTTTGGTAAGTCGGTAAAATGCTTCGTTATATTTTCTTTAAAATTAAGAGCATCTTGCGTTTCTATTTTTTGTGAGCTGAAGTATATTATGCGAGTTTGTACAACTTTTGCACTTTACACAGATGAATCGAAGAGGTCGCTATTATGTTGGAATAAGCGATTCATTATCATTGAAGGGATAGCTCAAGGATTGTTGTACCTTCACAAGCACTCAAGAGTGAAGATTATACATAGGGATTTGAAAGTCGGTAATATATTACTCGATGAAAATCTGAATCCAAATATATTGGAAGCTAACACAAACAGACCCGCAGGAACATAGTAAGCTCTTGTCCCCCAGCTTCTCGACTAACCGCACTTTTTACTCTATGTAGACTAAGCAACTTTCATCGTCAAATTGTATACATGTGATGCAGTGGCTATATGTCTCCAGAGTATGCTATGAACGGCACATTCTCCACTAAATCGGATGTCTTTGGTTTCAGAATAATGTTGTTGGAAATTGTGAGTGGAAGGAAGAACTATCATCTCATTCAACTGGATCCTGCTATAAACCTCGTGGGATATGTAAGTTACTTGCAACCTTTGTTCTTCCATTACCCCCCCCCTCCCCCGAAAATTTTAACGTAATTGAGCATAACGATATAACATATGAGAAGTATTTCTCGTGAATCTGTAGGCATGGAAGCTGTGGAAGGAAGGCACTCCATTGTTGTTAATGGATCCAACTATGAGCAATCCTCACAATTATAAGGATGAGATACTTAGATGCATCAACATAGGTTTGCTCTGTATTGAATACAATGCAAGTGATCGTCCATCAATGTCAGAGGTAATCTCAATGTTAACTAATGAAGTCGAACCATTGCCCGTACCGAAACAACCCGGGTTTACAATGACGAGGACCGTAAGCATTGGCAAGGAGAGAAGAGAGCCAGAAAATTGTTCAGCTAATGAAGTCACCATGACAAGTATGAGTCCTCGGTAACAAGCTGATGGAGTCCAAAGTTGCTACTTGTTGGTTAATCCTTTCTCTGGTAATGTACAACTTTAATTGCTGGGACTGCCAAGTGCTGCACAGAACGAGCTGTGTAATTTTCGCCATAAAAGTTCTCTCACTTTGCTTTGCTGTAGATTGGACGTTGGAAAATGACAAGTCTATTGGTGCTCCACTCCACCTGTTAATTACTTGGATAGATGGACCGACACTGACTTTGTCATTTTCCAGGAAAGAGTGATATAGCTGAATAATTGGGTTCTGGCATTTGCTTGCGAAGACTTCAGGTCCTCCCCAGTACCCACTCGTTGCCTCTTTGTCTGCAACATTCAATTTCTGCCTGTGGGGAGCTGGTCAGTAATACACAATTCTAAAGTGAAGTACCGTTTCATTATATGTGATCATGTATGTTCATTTCTGTATTAAAAAACCAAAAGTGCACATCTGTTCACTCTATAGGTTAACCATGTAGGGCCGTTCTTTTGCTGTAGCCTCCATTGTTTCTGTCGAAAAGGAAAAAGTCACTGCTAAAGAAGAATGGGAGCAAGACATGGCTATTGGGCTTGACACAGCAGGCCCTGAATTAAAATATGTAAAATGTATTTGAATAATAGAGCAGCCCATTCATTTCATCCATATTCTCCTTTCACGTGGGCTTAGGACTTCCCTTTCTTTCCAATTTCCCATCTTTCAAATTTCCCATCTTTCTTTATCAACTAGCTTATAACCCAAGTGTGTTTGCCGAATGAGGATAACACTACGCATGTTCATATTCGAGTGTATATTCTTATGTTATGTTTAACCTATCAGTCAGATTAAGTTTGTCGACAATCCTTCTGAATGACGCCTAGAGAATGGATGTATAGGAGGAATATTTGAAGGAGTACCATCACAGTTTGAGAGCGTGAAATGTAAAATGAGTCTAATGTCATATGCCCATTCAAATTATTTAAATAGGTACCCTTAATCCAATTTTCAATATGAGAATTTAGCCCCAAACAAAATGATAATGAAACGTCAAAATTTTCTATTTGGCTCTGTATAATCTTGGTCTCTAAGTTTGCCTTTCAACCAAAGTGAGAATAATTTCATCGCATCACAAATAGGGCAAATTAAAACTGCAAACATTTCAAGTTTGTAGTAACGGTTTCTTGCAAGGGTTCTAATCAAACCCTTGCTAACCTTAAACTAAATACAATCGTATACTCTTTCCTCTCCGAACACTGCTTTTGGAAATTCCTCTTTGTTGATTCCGATTTTGGTTCTTTCCCAAACGAATTTCAAACTGAAAGTAAACAATTCCAATTTTCTTCTTCTTTCCGGTCCATGTTTGCTGAGTGATTCCGTCGGAGCAAAAGATATTGGAAAATCACCACAGAGCAAGAATCAACGAATGAAGTCGATCTCGGTCTCCCTCCCCACTCGCTCCGGCTGAAAGTAGATCCCGCTCCGCACTCGTTCTTGCTCCGGTGATTCGGTCTCCCTCTGCAGTCGCTCCAGCTGAAAGTCGATCCGGTCTCCCACAGCACTCGCTCCGGCTGAAATTCGATCCGGCCTACCTCCGCACTTGCTCCGATGAGAGGTGATTCTCTGATTCCCTTGCTCTCTCTCTCCCCCTCGCAAGCGAGCGAACTCTGTTTAGTTATAGATTCGTCTTTCTCTGTTAGGTAGATTCAACTTTCTTAGGGACTGCAGTGCCAGTGGCTGCATGTAGTATACAATCTTAGGGATTGTAGTGCTGGATTTGAGCTCCTTGTGCTTTTGAATCTGTATCAGTCAGCAACGGGGTATCGACCGCGGTCCACAGATCATACAGCCACAGGCAGTCGTTCTTTGATAGACTGGTCGTCGTCGCGCTTTCTGCAGAGCTTATCCTTTTATTCAGAGTGGAGACTCGAACCACAGAGTCCATCGCTACGATGGCAGATAAGGTTGGGTAGCTCATTGAACTATCGTTAGAGTCTGGTTGTGGTAGTTGTTGGACTGGGAGAAGGTGGATGCTGCTTATTAACCTCATCATGATTGTTCTCGGCAAGCAGACGGAACTGAGTTTTGTCGTCCTTCTCGTGGGCTGTGGTGACTGATTGAGGTGGATGAGAAATCAGATCATCAGGTTCTTCATCTCTTGGGGATATCAGGTATCTGAGTCATATAAACTCTTTGCTCTTTCTTAATCTTATGCTTATCAAGCTTAGCAACTTTGACTTTGAGAATACGAGCAGCTTCCTACCTGTATCATAAACAGAAATGGGTAATTACAAACTGAAATCCAAACCACTTTGAAAGTAACGAATGAGATATTCACTTCATGTTTTGAGTGGCTTGTGATTAATTATATTTACTTTCAGGGTCTTTACATGATGCAAGAGGAATTGTGTTGATCTTAGAATTTACATGTGCAAGGCTATTGATGGTTGATGGTAATTGTTAGCCTTCCCCTTTTCTTTCTAATTTGGAATTATAGTGAATAGAAATTTTATTATTGTGGCTTAAGCAAAATCAGAGAAAGAAAATTTTAAATTTTGTGACTAATGAATGTCAGTTCCTCTCGAGTTTCAGACTTTCAGATATGCTAACAGTGCATCAATTGCTTCTGTGGCAAAGGAAGATAAAGTAGAGGAGAAATAGGAATCTGATGTGGTGAGTGCCTGATATGATCCCAAATAAGCCACTCTACAAGTTGGAATTACTTGACGAAGAAGCAAGCTCAAGCTGCCTGAAGAACATTCATTTCTGTCAGTGTCATTTTCCGTGTTCAAGTAGCCGATTTTGGAGGCAAGTTTCTCTCAATTGGATCAATGGAAATTCAAGTTTAATAGCTTTTATTGAACATGGAGTGATTATCTACACCTTGGTATGATTGGTTGCTCAAGAAGAAGTCATTAAGGTTGTTTTCCAAAGTCTCAAAGTTGCTACCTCAAAACTGGAAAACTGCCAGAAAATGACTAAGGCAGAAAACTGTTTTGTGAAGCCTACTTTGGAGCTCAATTCAAAGAGCATGGATCTGATTCGAGACCAAAGGCTTCTACAACATGAAACTAGGTATGTTTATATACCAAGGGAAGGAATCGGATGAAAGATCGGAGTTCTGGAAGGTCTCGAACGAAAGGCGCGAAGTTAGTACGAAAGCTGCCTTTTGACTGTTTTCCGGGCAGCTTACTTGTGCTTCAAGAAAGGAAGTTTAAATCCGAATTTTGTGTCCTTTTTAGAGTAGAATTTTACCTTATTTGTTTCCTTGTTCATCTAGATTTGTATTATGCTTTATTTGCCTTTAAATACCGTTCTATTTACGTTGTAAAACATAAGACTTTGTTGAATAGAAATCGAAACCTTTGGGTTTTTGCAAGTTTGCGTACTTGTGTGAGCTTTGGTGGATTCCAAGCTCGTTGAGCTCTTGTATCGATCAAGAACGCGTTGATCGTGGTCGGGCATCTACCTTTTATATCAATCGAGCGTTCCCCAGGTGTGGAATCGTCCTTTTGGTTCCGTTTTATCCAAGTTCGTATTAAGAACGCGTTGTTCTTGATTCGAGCTCAATCGATTCTTCGATTGAGTCGTTAGCTGCGTGACTTTGATAACATACACCCTCCCAGAGGCGTATTAAGTGGTATCAGAGCCCCGTTCTACACAAGGGCGAAGAAGAGGACGAAAACCTACTGTTTCGTACAAGCAGATTTCGTCAAAAAACAGGGAGGAGCTTGTCCCTGTTTCGTACAGCACCAAGCTCGGTTTTGTTTAAAGCCTTACCTTGTTGTTTCGATGGAAAATCTTGCCAAGTTAAAGGAGTTGGCCGAGGGCAGTAGAGAGGCAAAGCAGACGCGAGTTCATGGCAATGAGAAGCGTCAATCTGTTCACGTTCAACATCGCGAATCCGATGAACAGAGAGACAATTTGTTCCATAGTCGTTGTCTGATCAATGGAAAGGTGGCTTCGATGGTGATTGATGGCGGAAGCTGTGCCAATATCATCAGTATGGAGGCCGTACAAAAGCTTTGACTAGATACGCAGAAGCATCCCCAACCTTACAGTCTCAGCTGGATCAACGAACATGGAACCATAAAAGTCACGAAACAGGTTCAGGTTAGTTTCGAAATCGGCAAATATAAAGATGAGGTTTGCTGTGATGTTGTACCAATGCATACTGCACACATCTTGCTTGGTCGACCTTGGCAATTCGATCGTAAGGTCACACACGAGGGCTGGACCAATCGCTACAAGCTCCCGTATCAAGGTAAGACGATTGTGCTGAAGCCCCTTTCTCCGGACGAGGTATATCAAGATCAAAAGCAAATGGAGGAGAATCGAGCAATGGGCAAGGAGTCCAAGGCTCAATTATGGGTTCAGAGACGCATTGGGTTCAATTTTATGAGCTATCGAAAGCTTCAGAAGGCTGTTCCAGAGCTGGAACCAGCAACCTGCAACGACCCCTGTTTTGCTCCGACCAAGCAGAGTACTGATTTTGGCAGCTCTGTCGACGACGACAAAGAGGAATCCGAGCATAACGAGGCACCAGACGCGTCCATAGGGTCTGAAATAATGACCACAAGTCAACAGGAAGTGCGCGAACAGAATGCAGGTGATCGAATACCTCCATTGACAAGAACTCAGAAGTTCTGCCACTTTTCGGCGGAACATAGTTATGAAATTGATGATTTGGTCGTGGCGTATGGAGGTGACTCGAAGCAGGATGCCTTCATCAACACGTTCAAAGAAGACCCAGGGACGTGTAAGGTTGTTGAAATCCAACCAAAAGGAGCCCGAATGAAGAATCACCAGGTCGAGTTTTTATCTCTGAAACTGCCGGAGTTTGACACAAAAACTGGATATCTCGTCGTCGAGTTGGGAAGTTATTCGAGCCAAACCAATGATTGGGGGAAGTTCCTAGATGATCATGGAACGTGTAAGACTGCTCAATTCATCCCAAAGATTCCGGATTCAAAAACGCCCAATTTGGAATTGGATGAACTGTGTACGTCAAAATTTGAAGGTGGCGACGGCGGGAAACATAAAATCGTCGGGTCGATGATTATGGAGGTGATTCGAGGCCCGGGAATGTTTGGAAGCTTCATATGGAAGCTGGGTGAACGATATTCGAGTGGTCAATTGGAGTGGATAGGTTTGAATCAACAAATTCCAAGTTTGCAGGTTGCGTCGGCGTTCGTCACTGCGACAGGGAGTTCTGGACGACTACTAAGTTGCCTTCCAGAAAATTTGGTCGACAATTCCAGTTTATTTCGACCCCAGACAGCATTACTAGTGTCACTGCACGCTTTAAAGTCCCAGGAGCAGATTGAAGATGAAGTTGCAGCTGCCAATGTTCTGCCGAAAAGGATGTTTTGAGCAGCCAACTTTCGATCCCATTTGGGATCAATTCTTCGAAGCTTTTGAAAAGAGGAAGGATCAAGCTTTGAGGGCAAAGCTTTTTGAAGAGGGGGAACCTGATATGATCCCAAATAAGCCACTCTACAAGTTGGAATTACTTGACGAAGAAGCAAGCTCAAGCTGCCTGAAGAACATTCATTTCTGTCAGTGTCATTTTCCGTGTTCAAGTAGCCGATTTTGGAGGCAAGTTTCTCTCAATTGGATCAATGGAAATTCAAGTTTAATAGCTTTTATTGAACATGGAGTGATTATCTACACCTTGGTATGCTTGGTTGCTCAAGAAGAAGTCATTAAGGTTGTTTTCCAAAGTCTCAAAGTTGCTACCTCAAAACTGGAAAACTGCCAGAAAATGACTAAGGCAGAAAACTGTTTTGTGAAGCCTACTTTGGAGCTCAATTCAAAGAGCATTGATCTGATTCGAGACCAAAGGCTTCTACAACATGAAACTAGGTATGTTTATATACCAAGGGAAGGAATCGGATGAAAGATCGGAGTTCTGGAAGGTCTCGAACGAAAGGCGCGAAGTTAGTACGAAAGCTGCCTTTTGACTGTTTTCCGGGCAGCTTACTTGTGCTTCAAGAAAGGAAGTTTAAATCCGAATTTTGTGTCCTTTTTAGAGTAGAATTTTACATTATTTGTTTCCTTGTTCATCTAGATTTGTATTAGGCTTTATTTGCCTTTAAATACCGTTCTATTTACGTTGTAAAACATAAGACTTTGTTGAATAGAAATCGAAACCTTTGGGTTTTTGCAAGTTTGCGTACTTGTGTGAGCTTTGGTGGATTCCAAGCTCGTTGAGCTCTTGTATCGATCAAGAACGCGTTGATCGTGGTCGGGCATCTACCTTTTATATCAATCGAGCGTTCCCCAGGTGTGGAATCGTCCTTTTGGTTCCGTTTTATCCAAGTTCGTATTAAGAACGCGTTGTTCTTGATTCGAGCTCAATCGATTCTTCGATTGAGTCGTTAGCTGCGTGACTTTGATAACATACACCCTCCCAGGGGCGTATTAGTGCCCCTCTACAGTTCTAATCTCTATAGCATTCTTAGGCTATACTATAATTGATTGATATTGCTTAGCTTTTGAGAATGCACGTTGGAGTCTAATGATTAAGTTCATTGGATTCTAACAAAAACTAGTAATTGTATATATCCCTTTGCACATAAATTGATCTCAATTGGTCATCGTGTTCTGTATTCTACCTCCTTCCGATGTTCCCAAGACTACTAACCTAGTCCTAGTTCAATCTGATCCACATTCAGACTTTGGAATGTTGATAATTCTTAAATCACATGTCCTCTGCAAATTCTTGACTCAACACGACACACTACTCTCCACGCACCTTACTGAACCAGTGCTGAAGCCTTGCAAGACTGAAACTATCATCATCTACGTCACCATAATGTGGAGGAGTTACGTTGAAGGATTTTCCACAGAATCTTCCTTAGGTGACCAGAGTAGCAATGATTAGCTGTTGGAAAAACTCAAAAGATAACTTCATCTGTTTATGGGGACCATTCTTGGTGACAAGCAACTGTTTTCGGGGGTGGTACGCGAAACCTGTCGTTGTCATAGCTTTCCTTCGATTTCTCTTTCTACCAGCCTTATGCAAGCCTACGGTCTGATTGCTAATTGTGCTTGCTTCACAGTATGTATGTCTTTCTCTCATGTCCAGGTCCGCCATACGTTTGCAACTGCATGATTAGGACAAAGACAACAAACAGAGGCTAAAGGTTGGTGCAAGTTTTTCATTTCTTCCATGATTGAATGAAAGTGATGTCCTAGTATTCATCTTAGCAAGGTCGTTTGGGGTGCCCGAAAATCATATTGGACAGTAAAGTAAGGGCTTTCGATGGCCTTATGGCCCTCATGTATCTCCAGGTAATTTCCTAGGTTACTTATCAATGATGTAGCTTATATCAAGTCACAGAGTTATGTTAGTAGTATCCAACATATATGTCTTGGGGCAGTTCATTAATGGTTTTGCTGCCACCTTCTGATTTATGTCGTGATGACCTGTCTTTTGTAATCCAAGGCATGATCCAGCCTAGTGAAATTCAGAGTCCATTACAGTATATAATTTTGATTGATACCCTGTTTGTTTTTATCAAAGCGTTCGATGAGTAAGAGATTAAAACAGAGTTGTTATTATTTGTGGTAGGTGCACAGAATGCCTGTGATATTCATCCGGAAGAGGAATCAATGATTTGCATTACCACATCTTGTGCAGACCTTGACAAAATTCTTGGTGGAGGAATAAGCTGCAAAGAAGTTTCAGAATTTGGTTAACACCCTTTTTCTCTACAAAGATGTAAGTATGACTTCTTCATTACGACACATTTAGGAATTTTTGCGATCTTGCTATGACGTTGAAATGGGTGGCATCAACTTAAGCAGTATAACTCGTATTAAAAACAACCTCATAACCATAAGATCTACAATATTTTATTTGAGTGATTTAAATAATAGTCAACAATGTCAGCTAGCTTGAATGTTTCATTAATTGAATCTTTTATATGTGTCAATTGGGTTTGCAAGCTATTTCCATTTCCACTGAGATATTCTTGCGTGAGCAGCACTTGGAATTTGATGTTTTGGCTGAACTAGTTGTGACTGGAATGATGGATGGCTTATATTATAACGATTTGGTTCATTTTAAGGATTATGGTAAGTGCATTATGTGTTGCTAGTTAGTCAGCCTCGAAGATGCATGCTACTTGTATTCTGGTGTAGTCGACTTTCAAGGCGAGACCTCGTCTGCATTTGGGTTTATTTGTGCATGCTACTTGTTTGCTACAGATTTGGAGCAGCAGGGGATGGTTACTTCTCTTGTGAAGGAATGACCTTAGTTTATTCTGGAACATAGCAGTTGCAGAAAATACAGCAAGAGTACTAATTGTTTGAATCCATTTTGTAGCATATGGCCCTGAGGATGGTTAATAAACGTCTGAGGGTGTTGAACAGAACTGAGATTTCATAATAAGAATTATACAATTTATTGAAGTATTTTTGTTTCTGTTTACTATTATTTGGTGTTGAACCATTAGGAAAATCAATTTGTATGGATATGGTGAGATTGAATACCATAATAAGAATATTACAATTTATTGAAGTATTTTTGTTTCTATTTACTATTTATTTGGTGTTGTTCTCTCATTTTAAATGAACAAAGAAAATCCAATTTGGGTTACTTATAGTGACGAGAATACCTTGACATTAGTGACGGAATGTCTTCCTTTTAGTAACAAGAATGTCGTCATTAAAAACCCTTGCTAAATGTAAGCTATGGGACCATAGTCCCTTTTAATTGTAGTTAAGTATAGCAAGGGTTTTAAACCCATGCTGCTGTAGTGAGGGTTAAAAACCCTTGGTACAACCCTTGCATAGGACTTCCACCAAGGGTCACTCAAAACCCTTGCTACACGTAGCAGGGGCAGCTTTGCCAAGGGTTCGTCCAAGGATTTTAATAATCATTGCTAGATCTTGTAGCAGGGGTTTAAACCCTTGCTATAGACAAAAATAACCCTTGCCATAGACAATTTTTTTTGTAGTGTACAAACATGGGAAAATCAAACCATGCCTTATGCTATTTCCCTCGAGAAAGATTGTTTGTCCAAAACATCAGAATCCGTCACCTTTTGGTTCCTGGGCAAAGATTTACCTCTCAAGATTGAAACAAGAAGAAACATATGTAAGATGATTACAAACAAAAGGATAGTATTAATATTGTACAGTCAAATGCCCAGAATATTAAAGCAAAAAATAAATTTTACCAACAGAATCAAATGTCTAGATAATGCACTTTCGTTTCAGAAAAGAGGATTAAAAGAGCACTACCACTGAAGAAATCGATAACACTCTGGCACTGACATTGCTTTTACAAGTGACGAAAGTAGGATTGGAAACTACCTATGTCCTCTTTATAGAATATAAATATATAATTAATAAAAATTTAATAAACATAATTAAAACTAATAATATTTTAATAATTCATTCGTAGATAAAGAAACAATCAACTAATACAATTATATTTTGCATAAACAACCACAACGAGTTTGTGTATTATGAAACAAATGCAAAATAAATTTGTTGTGTACACTTTTAAGTAAGTCTCTTTCAGTGTATCCCATTAAATAATCATTAGCAAACTGATCGCCAATCCAACTTTGAAGTTGTTCTTAATACAACTAAAGTTTTGCTCATCCCTACTTGCTGCTGAACAAACGCAATAGGATAATTTAATAAATGCATACATGCTAGCGAACTAACCACTTGGCCCCAATAAATCGAGTTATTGGGAAAGGGATAGTTAAGCCTTTTAACCTCTTATATGCCCCCTCAAACGAAATTCGATGCCGAATTGTGGATTTTTACGGTTTGCACAGGTTGAACCCTTGTGCTGCCAAACCACGAGACTTTAGTTTGCACAGGTTGGACATACCATCCCTTGTGCTAAACAAATGGCTGAAAATTGGGGATTGTCATGAGGATTCGAAACCATGACCTTTCGGTTCTAGGCTCTGATATCATGTTAGCAAACTAACCACTTGGCCCCAATAACTCAAGCTATTGAGAAAGTGATAGTTAACCCTTTTAACCTCTTATAATACAAGTGCCCCAAACGCGCCTAACTGATCTCAAAGAAGAGGAAGGAAAACTTTCTCTCTCTCTCGTGCAAATCGATAATCCATGAGACATATGCAGGGGAAAAAAGTTAATCTGCTATCTTGAAGATTCGTTAGCAGATACTAACTGATATCCAAAATACATGAACTAGTATCCAAGTACTAAACACTACAACAAATTCGGCCTATTAGGACAACAAATTTATTTTGTCATTTTTTGTTTGTCACAATAGGTAAGGTGATATGAAAAAAATAATATATGTCCTATTTGGTATGCCTAATGTGACAAAAAATTGTTGTCAGAATAAGTCGTCAGTTAAAGTGAGTAATGTGACAAATATATCGTGTCACAATTAATTTTGTCAAAATAGGCGTCCCATATCGGGATGTAAGAGACTCAACAGTGACAAATTTCTTGTTGTCAGAATAGTTCGTCATTTAAAGTGAATAATAGGGGTGGCTATACGGTCTGGTCCGGTTAAATTGGCCCAAATTGATCTGGTCCAGTCCGGTCTTTTTGAAAATATGAGGACCAAAGATTGGATTGGATACAGTCCGGTTTTGATCCGGTCCGATCTTGACCCAGTCCGGTCCCAATTCGGTCTTGATTTTATATTGAGCTTGTGGAGATTTGAGTGGCCTAAGGCCTGAAAGGGTGAGGAGTTGGTTAAGTTTTGTACTAAGTGCAAAGGTTTGTGTCCGTTTATGCAAATTACTCTTAAGTTTTGGGTGTTGAGCTCTCTTATCTGGTCTTTATCCAGTTTTCGATCCGGTCTCAAACAGTTTTTTACCTCAAATCTAAGCCCAAAGATTGGATTGGATTGTTTACTATCCGGTCCCGGTCCGTGTTATACGGTCTGGTTTTGGGTAAAACCAAAAAACCCGGACCAAATAGCCAGCCCTAGTGAATAATGTGACAAATATTTCGTGTCACAATTACGTTTTTCAAAACAGGCATCCCATATC